TACAAGTCAGTGACCCGAAACCCAAGACGGTCCAATTACAAAACCACCACACCAAAAAAAAAAAGGCGAAGTAGAAATACATGATGACCAGGTAGGTTCTCTGCATGTTTGGATCATTGGACCCTAACCCCAACACATCAAGCAGTACGTCTGGCATACCAATTCACTGATAGAGACCCTTCATCTCTCTCTCTTCTCTCTTTCTTTCTCTCTCTTGTTTTTGAGGTATCTTCGTCGGTCTGGTTTCTGGGATTCCCATCCAAAACCAGAGCTGGTGGGTCGTCAAATGCAGCTGAAGCATGACACTTCTTAGTTCTTACCACTTGAAGCTAAAAAAACGAGGAAATATGGAGATGCTTGATCATTGAAATGTGGGGTGGTAAAAAAGATGGAATCCTCTCCCTTGTTTACAAGGATTTGTACTGCTCAGAGTACAGAAGAAGTTTATCTTATTTGAATATTTTATACAGCACAGTTTCTTACTGACCTCAGTTTTCACACTTTTCTTTTACTCTGCAGAATCTTATGATTCCTCCTTTTGGTTTCAATTCCAGTTAGCAAACCCAGCAAAAATTGCAGTACTGCACAGAAGCAAATGTATTGGAAAACTCAATCCTCCATTACTTGTCCATGGACACATCATCCCCCCACTAAAATCTCAAATACTTGCTCAAATCTTTTCATGTACATGCAACTGTTGTTCACGAGTGCATATACAATTCTAAATATTTATTTTTGACAGCTTTGTTTTAGTTAGAAAGTACATTAGACAAAAAATTTGAACTCCACTGATAAGTTAAACCACTCTGTTCAAATGGTGGATGACTACTGAATACTGACTGGGTCTGGGTGGTGCTAAGGCGTGGCAATTTTTAAATGTTCTGCCAAACAGAATTTGCTTTTCCCAGCTTCAGTTGGGCTTTTATCTGACTTGATTTTCAGTTGGGATTTCTTCAACTCTCATTGTAACAGAGATTACAGAACAACCTAGCCCAGCCACCTGCTTCTTGCAATGTTTGGGTGAGTTATTTCAAACCTAGTGTAGATCTGGACAAGGCTCCGGTTGTGCCCCAACCCCCGAAATCCTTTTTCTTCTGGGCTAGAAGCCTAGAACCATTTTTGAAGCTGAAGATGAAGCACCAGTAAAACCCACAGCATGAATTCTGGAAAGAAAGACATTGATAGTTCAACTCAAACTAGTAGGAAACAGATATGAGGGAAATTTTCATCCTGAGAGCCATCCAAATTGCAAACTTCCATGGTTCAATCTTTCTATTATGTGTAAAGAAGACTAGACAAGCGTGGCCAAACTGACAACCCCATGACACAGAGAGAAAAGAATCATTTAACAGAAAATTCGTTTTTCCTACAATTACTAAAAACACAAGGCATGACATAGTGAAAAATGGACAAATTTCAAAAGGGCTTATGTTTAGTCCTCCAATTCATCATATGGAAAACCTTCTGACTCCTGAGAGGACATACAATCATGGAAAGAGGCAGCTCCAAGACATACATCTATTTTGTTTCATGTTATTCATCAGTAATTCAGTAATACATACTTTACATACATACAGAAAATTTATAAAACAGCTTACTAATGAAAGAGAAACTCTATTTTCATATAATTTATAGAAGAAACGCAACGTAGGTAAATATTTTATGGAGACAAACAGGAAAAAAGCTAAGATTAAGAGGTATGGATGTAGGAATTAAGAAAGTTCATGTGGTGTAAAGACACATTTCCATCCATAAAACCATTTGAATATATCCAGATGCTCTCTCTCTCTCTCTCTCTCCATCTTTCCATGTTCTTGTCAGTACTCAGTACAGAGATTGGGTAGTGACCAGAAGGGCTGGACCACCCTCTAGGTCATGTCTGGGAAATCTCCAGGACAGACAAATTTGTCGAATGATATATCTCAATATAAGATCCATCACATCCTATTATATATATGGGCCCTTTGGAAATCATCTGTAATGAAATCATTCCAATTAAATTTACCTAAACATTTCAGAGAAGAAATTTATCATCCAATATGGAACTATTAGGCCAATGAGAGTGATCAAGCAAAAATAACCATTCCCAAGTTAGATTCAGAACAAGTTGCATTTTCCTCCAGGGACCATTTTACTTGTGTTCATGCCTTGATGGCATGGAAGGGCATATTGGCCTTCTCAATAAGGATAAGGGTGCTTTTGTCAACTTGAGGAGGCATGGAGGAACATTCAATGAAGTAATATGGAACAAGGAGAGTTCTCTGTTTTCATACCACTTTTATATTCCACGGCATCCCCAATAATTTCAAAAAGTTAGAATACTCGAAAACTGGGTAACCTAGATTTAATCAATGACATCGACATATGTTTCTAAGTTTAGAAATAACTGCCCTGTAAATTATATATTAACTAATTCCTAATCATGTGTGAACTAGGTAATTAACATGATTGGTTGTTGAATGTTAGTTAGAGTTTTGTGTCATTTCTTTAAGTGGTTAAATGAAATTGAATCTACAAATACCAATGTTTTCAACTCGATGTTGACTCAGTTGATTAAACCGTTGCATGGGTTTGACTATGATTGAACCATTAACCTATTGACCCAATCAGTGGGTCAAACCCACAGGTTAGTGGACCCCTTCACAGGCTGGATTCGAGTTGAGCTTTTGCCAAAATTTGAATGGGCCCAATCCAAAATAGTGTAAAATGTTTCATGGGCCAAGCCCGAGCCCAAAACTCGGCCTGTGAACAGACCTACAGGTTAGACATCTTTTTTTTGGCATTTTTATCCATTTAAAAATTAACAACAATACTTTTTATTTGTTGCATTTACTTTGTTTAATGTGATCAATAAGTAAGATTAGAGGATGCTCAATTTTCTGTACTTTTTTTTTATATTTTTCTACCCTTTCTGGCCATTTCCATCATTATTAATAATAGTTTTATATTTTATTGCAAACTTGAAATATTTCTATTTGTTATACAAATCTTCTGCATACACAAACATATGACATCATGGGTTGACCCACTCAACCCAAACGATCAAACAGGGTTGGCCTCTAAGAGGGTTTTTAAAACACTGACAATTACTCTTCTTTCCCCCTTTTTCTTCTCCAAACCACTTTTGCTACACTGTGGTAGCCATGATGTGGCTAAAACCATGTTGTAGCAAAAGTGAACTCTTTCCTCTCGTTTGCGTTTGTGACTGAATTCAGTTAACATTAGAAGCCTAAGAAAGTGAAGGAAAATATGGAAGAGCCAAGAGAGACCCATTTCCATTTGAGTGTCTTCAGTAAAGGTGATCCATGCAATTCCTAGGATTGGAGGGACAGAGACAGGGGACTGTGAGGACTGAGGAGGGACCAAATGGTGCCATCATTATGATCAATCCCGGAGATGGAGAAAAAGGAAAAGAAGAGAATATCATCATTGTGGTTACAGAGCATGTCATGGTGAAAGGATAAGAATGGTGAATACCTCATCTACCACCAGTACAATCCACATGAATGAGCACATGCTTGCACATGCACATGATCTAACACCTTTCAACTGTTTCCCAAATTTAAGGCTTAATGCATTAGTTGAACACATAACAAGTAGAATATTTCTTGGTATTGTTGTTGATGTGGATTTCAAGGGCTCAAATTACAGAGTTCTTTATGACTGATTTCACATCTGCTGCAACCAGATGCTGCCATGGTAGAAAGAAAATGCTGAGATGATTGCAGCAGATCTGGGCCCTAAAGTTCAACATCAACAATAAATCCTATTTTGAAAGGCGAGCAACCTTCTTTCCATCGTAAAGACTTTGATGATTATAAATCTCACCAAGGGTTGTATAATTATTACCACAACCACAGGTGAAGAGGACAAAAAGAGCAATTAAATTAAAATATCAGAAGGAATAGCTTAAGAAAGCTGTGTTAGGTAAATTTTTAAGATTTTTCCCTCAGCTTTTTGGTTCTCTCCTACTTTCTAATAAGCCAAACACAACCTTAAGCATAATGGATGCATCTATCGCTTTGTGTCAAGACTGACCCAATTATTATCAAATAAATTAGATCTTTCTCAAGTCTCCTATCAAAATAATGCTAGCATCACAGGCTTAGCCATCACATAGCTCTTAAGGTCAGGTCAACCCAGGCCCAACCCTAAAAATTGGGGTTAAGGCCTGAACCTGAACTTAGCCCAAGGTCATGTCCAAACTGTAATCGGAGCCCAACCCATACTGAAATGTGATGCATTTAGGTTGGATTCAATGTCCAGGCTGGGATCGGATTAACCGATTAGCCCATTTTGAAAAAGTACAATATAAAATGCAAAGTTTTGCATTCTACAAATTTGTATTTGTATTCCTTCCAAACTGAACCCACGTGAAAAAATAAATAAAACAAAAACCCAAACTTTTGTACCCAAGACTAACCCAAATTGCAGAAAAATACAGACAGGCCCAATACAAATTTCTGATTTCCATTGCAAAGTTATAAATATTCAAAATATCAACAACCCACACTATGCACTAATGCCCACCAGTGAATTGGCATCAATTCCAAGCTGACACCTACCCCAACAGTACTTTGGGCCTACAAATTCTAATCCTGAGCTGAACCGTCTGCTCGCAATGCTGGCAAACAAGGCCTGTGACACACGCTTCTAACAATATGTGCATATAGTTGTGTTCCTTGGACGGTTGGACCTGGTTGATTTGCAGTGCAATTTCATTTGTATTGGTGCAAAAGTCTGAGTGTAAATTCTAATTAACTTTTGCTTCAACCTTTACCTTATTTTCTTTGATTGCAGTGAAGATGAACCCAAAGTAAATATAAACCCCCAAGTAAAAGTAAATCAGAATTTGCACTCTTCTCATTTGCAATAGTGAATCAGAACTCTCTGCCTGATAGGAACTACAGCCAAATAAGATAATTTCCCTGATTATCATGTAGGAATAGCTATAATATATCAAGCAATTATTTGATCAGTAATAACCCTGCAAACCAAACTGAAATTAACATTCAAGTAGTTCTTGAAGTTTGAGGAGTTTTGTCATAAAAGACATGGCCCTTTGTACATGGGCGTCGCCCCTTTTTAATCTTTCCACCCAACTTCAAGAAAAAAGGGGGTGGAAGAGGAGAGGTGTTTGAATCCTGAATCTTTCATTTACAAGATATGGAACAACCATATTTCAACCCCTAAATAGTGTTCTAATATAGTACAATTTGAGCATCTTAGATCTTACCAAGCATCTGCAAGTTACAAAAACAAGGGAAAAGAAGGGGAGGTGCAGCACAAGAAACAAGACTTGCATAATGCCTCAAAAGGAAACATGAATGTCTTACATTAAGAACCTTTTCTACTCCGGCTACTGATGCCAACAGGAGACCTCTGACTAGTCGAGTCTGAAGAATTATAAGAATCCCTCTGACCCAGTTGTGGACTGCCCCGATGCCCATGAGTAGGATAATTCCTAGTAGACTCCATATTTGATTCACTCCCTCTGATTGCATCGATCTCCAATGTCTTAGCTTCCTCCGTCAGCATGGCCAACTGTTTTTTCAGAAAAGCATATCAGTGCCCTACCTTAAAATATGGATAAAGTACAGCATAACTGCAAACACTATCGGTTACATGGTATATCAATGGCATCACAGTACATGCTGGGCAAAGTCCTATTAGGCCAAAGTGTTGGGTCCAAACATTTGGTGGGTACACTTCCTTCCAGGTAAAAATGGCTTAATTGGGTGACCATCTAGTTCAGACTTTGCCCTTTTCACCTGGTGGTTGCACCTCTTTCTTTTTCCCCTTTTCAACCTTCCAAACTGAATCATAGCTCCAAGAGCTAGGATTCACCAGCAGTTTCCTTCTTACTTCGTTTTCCTTTTTCTTTCTTTTGGATAAAGGATAATTCATTATCCCCTCCCCCCGCCCCCCCAAAAAAAAGGGAAAAAAGAAATAAGTACATCATATGCCTTGCCATGAAGCAAAATAACCATCTTTAATGTCTTTGCAGAAGTTGAAGTGAGATTTCTCTAGAGAGTATGGGATTCAGTACCCTAATTTCATTTTCTCTCAAACGGTCCTGAAGAGCACTTATAGCAGGACTTAAACTGCAAATGGAATCGAAAGACGTAGTTAATAGTGATAAAAAAGCAGCAGTTAAAAGAAAATGTGATCTAATCGATTAATTCTAGTATGACTATAAATGAGTGAGCCTTTCTAAAAATATATATAATAAAAACATAAAGCATTGAAACGAAATGAAATGTTCAGATACAATAATAAAAGAAGAGAAAAATAAGAGGACTTGTCCTAACCAATACTCCATTAACTTGCACATTGAAGCCTGGTATGTTGATGTGTGATGGATGAAGGCGAGGGGATGTATCTTCCCATCCCTAAAATTAGAGATTGAGACAAATGGAATAAATAAATGATGATGATAAAGCCACTAAGAGGATGCTTATGCATGACTTTGCTTTAAAAAAAATAAAATCATGCATATTGGCAAATAACCCCTAAATGGGCATGTAAAATACTTTAGGTATGGAAGCATGTGGTCGGGTATCATTTGTTTACCGCATATTCTGTAAAATGGCTTGGTTATATGCTGCCCTCTCCTCCTCAAACAATACCCGCTGCAACTCCATGAATGAAGTTAAAGGAGAATCGAGCTTTAAAAGAGATGATGTTGGCGAGACTATCAAAGGAATTTCCTTCCTGACATATTCTGCACCACTATTACCCAAAATCACCTAATTAGCAGAGACAAAATTGAAAGCCCACTTTTTGCACCTAAAATAACTAGATCATGCATTTTTTTCAGAAACAACAAATCTGGACTTGTATAGACAAGAAGGGTCAAACAAACACCTAAAATTGGAAAAAATGGAGACAAAATTTAAACCCAAACTGCATAAAAATAAAATAAACCTAAACTACATCAGAATGCTCAAGTTTTCCCAACAAGAAACCCCTACTTCTATCAAGCATCCATTCAAGGTGCCTCTCCCACTTCTGTAATTTCTCCTATCCCTGCCCAATAACCACTTCTCTCATTTTTTTTTTAATTAGAAACTATGATTGGTATTAATCATAAGAAACATCTCTGTATCCAGACACATACAGACAACACGATACAAACAGCTCAAGCTGACTGACATCCTTAATTTTTTGTTACTATCATGGATTTACATCAAAACCCAGACCCGATGTCACCCACAAAAGTTGATTCCTGGATACTCCACTTCTTGCAAGGGCATCTGGTATTACATAGCCAAGAAGGGTTTCCATCTGAATAAATGGTTCAGATTGGGTGCTAATGAAATAGTTTCTCTAACCACATTTCGAAGTGCCCAAGTGCAGACATCTCAGCTCTTTGTGAATTTCCTTGTCCAATTGGCCCTGTGAAACTCATAATAACATTTCCATGGTGATATCTAACACCCCCTATGACTAATGGTCCCAGGTTTCCAATGCTGCACCCATCAAAGTTGAGTTCCAATGTCCCTATTTCCAATAAGTATCGATTCAGTTCAATATGCCAGACAGGGCATATCGGACTTTAACATCACATGCTTTTATTTTTTTTTTAGGTTTTTTAAAACAGGTTCAGGGGAGTCAGTATAAGGCCTCGCTACCCCCTGAAAGAAGTCTTACTCTTACCCCAAAACTCCATGTATTTCGCATATCGATGGGTCACCGATACAATATGTATCAACCAATATGGGCCAATACGTTACAAAATTTTGATCTGTCTCAGTTCTAGCCAAGTAGTAGTAATATGGTTTTTTCTATGGGTAAAGCTAGAAATTGTGGCCAATCCTCTTAATAAATCAACAGAAATAGAAGACAATTAGTAAACAACAGCAGGAAAGCAAGGATAGTGTGGAGCTGTATTCATTTTGCAGTGTACTGGGTTCTTTAGAATGAAAGAAACAGAAGACTCTTTGAGGACAGATCAAAGAACACTGAAACACTAGTTGCTCTGGTTGGGAAGCTAGTAGTGGATTGGGTTTGGGTGCTACCAGAATTTGATCAAATCAGCAGATCTGAAATGGGGAGGAATTTTTGGAATATTCTAGAAACTCAGCGGTTGTAATTTGGATTAATGTCTGCTCTTATCAAGAGTTAGTTTGTTGTGTGAGCAGTGGTGACACCTCGTCACCATTTGGATTGTACTCTTCTTTTTTGATTTAATAAATTTTCATTTACTCCCAATAAGCTGTCTTCACCATGATGTTTATTATTTTAGGCAAGTTTGATATTAAGATAATAGAAACTTTAAACTGCTAATATTATTCATTAAAAACACTAACCAAAGGTAGGAAAAAAAGCTGACGTGGACTGGATGCTTGAATAGGTTGCTAATCTAGAAGGTCCTGTACTTGGTGGATGGCTTGGAATATGCTTCCACATGGCACATAACAGGTCACGCAAGGAAGTTTCTACTTGATGCAACTAGTGAACCTTTTTTCTATGTCTATGTTCGATTATATGTATACAAATGTGTGGTTATGCATATACAAAAATTTATTTTCTCAAAAGCTTGAAAATTTTCTTTAAGGGCATTATAGAACATTCTAAATTCCCTAGATATTCTAAATTCCCCCACCTAATCTCTAACACACACCCTTGAACTTATTAGGTTATTATTTAAGTCTACATGGCACCAATTTAGAAGACTGCAATTGCAATTAGATACTTTTCACCTTCCTTCGGGATCTAAAAGTGGGTTCTTATCATGATAAGTGGAAAGAAGTCCGCCACAAAAAAAAAAAAAGTCACCTGAATAACATCTGCAACATCAGAACATTGGACATAATAAAAGCAAGAAAAAAGAATGAAACAGTTATCAGGTGATCAAGTACATACTCATGTAATACCTCATGTCCAAATTTGACCGGTGCATTGCCTCCTGCATACTTGCAGTCATGTCCATGGAGTCTACATCAACAATGGCATTTTGTAGGTTGTCAGCATGGTAGTTTCCTCCCATTTTCTCTTTCCCAAGATAGTTGACATCAGCATGAGCAAAAAAACCTTCCAAGTCTGATGCTCTTCCTACACCCTAAACAACCATACAACCATATAACAGTACTCATAATCAGAAGACTAACTAAAAGAAGACTAGCATCTAGTATATTATTACAAGTAAAGCTTGACCAGAGGAAAAGGCTGGAATTGTCAACATCCAGAGCAGGCCAATAACAAAGTATTAGCTAGTTTTTTTTTTCTTTTTGAAAAAAGAATTAGCTAGTATTGTCAATATGCTTTCCATTTAAGTTCTATAGTGAACTATCTGAAATATTTCTTAATACTCCTTGCATCAGGTCCTGCATTATTATTTTTGATAAATGATAACTAGGCCCCGCATTACTAATATTACTTTTTTTATCAATAGGTCATGCATTATTATCAGCCTCCAGGGATTGATGAGATTCCAAATACATACCCAAAAATAATATTTAAGTAGTTCTTTTTATGGGATTTCACACTTCAAGCAGCATTGACTGATTAGAACAAAAATGGAGCATGGTCCTGTCTAAAATATCAGTTAGCAATAGCAATTGGCTAAGCTCTGACACTATATATCATTTTATGACTGTCCTAATGAACGGCCACAGTTTCTATAGTTCAATTGAAACAACAAATAGTGAACGCATTGGAATACCATAAGAGGTTTATACATACTTTAGAAGGTCTCATGGTAGTTCTTGAATCAGCAGTATCCTGTTCAAGGCTTTCTGTCCTGACAGAGCCAGATCTTGTTGCAACATTCTCTGAAGAATTCCAAGATGAGTCTACCTCTATAATTGAACTGCTATTAACAGGGGATACAGAAACTGGTCTTGACACATGCTTCTGCTTCCCATCCAAGGACTGGAACGCAATGACCTGGATTCTTCCAACCTGAAATAATTGCCAGAATGTTTACAACAAATGCCTAGAAATCCAGTTGCAATATTAGATTCATAAAATAGCATAAATTACAAAGCAGACCTTGTGAGCATCTTCACTGAAACAAGAAAATATCAATCCAATGAACCCAGAATCTAAAAGTTGATACATGGCCTGGGTCCGAACATCTGCAGAAGAAAGACTGCAGATATAAATCTCTTTCTCAAGCAAGCTCATAAAGGAATAAGTACTCAAAAGAGAACAGAGAATCACATTTAATCTTCATGCATTTGACAGGACTTTAATCTATGTTAAATGCATTCATACGCAAAGCAGCTTTTATTGGAACACCATGCAATTTCAGAATAAATTATTTCAGCTAGTATTTGTCTTACATGATGAACAAAAAATGCCTACCTCTTCTAATTTATTTGACGAGAAAAGAAAGTTTTCATTGTAAAAGGGGAAAAAATCAGCCTGAAAGTTTTTCTGTCAATTTTATATTGAAACAAACATAGCCATTATATCAATCATCTGGAGATAACTTTTCAGAGCAAAGGTTCAATTTGAATCTTCTGGGTAAAAAAAAAGTAACTTCTCTATATCTATGGCCATTGTAATTTACATAGCTACATTAAAATTGACATCATCCAGGATAATGCCCATACAAGTTATGAATTCAGAGAGAGTCACCAATTCTAAAAATATGGGGTATTAGTGTTACATTGCAAACCAGCAGCATTTGCCAGTATTGTTCAGCTTTGTCTCCATTGATGATAAATAAACACAACCCCACTTAAAAAGGACACCCATTTTTTGAAGATGAACATGTTGGTGATCATGTTGTATCCACATTCTAGATTCATGCAAATATTTTATTTTGATAATTAATAATGATTTCATTAAATATAAAATTTGAGCATTACAAGCATCCCAAAGAGAGGCATGAGCTGCAGCCTCTCACATTGAAATACAATGGGAAACCTATTTCAGGTTTTCCAGACTCCAGAGTTTCTTTGTCATAAACCTTGCAATAATTGGACATCCTCATTAACCAAGATGCATAGGTAGTTACCAAAAGAGGAACAGGGGCACAACCCTTCAGTTACTGAATCAAGAGACAATTATTGATACTGATCCAATATTCCATAAGCTGATACCATAATTCTACCTTAAGTTTTTTAAGCTATCTTTTGCAATACTAGTAACTTGCCAAATTTGGTTAAGGTTATTAACATTTCACAAAGTTCCTTGTAGTACGATTTGTTTGCATGCTACTATAAGTGTCTATTCAGTACACTACATTCTAGAAATATCCATGTCGCAACTCTCTATCCACTGATATCCTATTATCTTATTATCTTCATGTTAGATATACCAAGCACATTAAGGAGCCATGGGATCATAGCTTATTATATAGAGCTCACAAAGAAGTGAACACCCAGTTAAAATTTTATTAAGTAAATGTACAGCATGACGGGAGTCAAGCCCCAGACCTAGGATCAAATCCTGACTTCACCTACTAAACACTGGACATTGAGCTTGTTGATTTGAAAACAAAAAAACAAAAAAAAAATGCCCACAACATCCAAATACATGCAGTTAGAAAGAAGGCCTAAAATTCCACCATTTACCTATTGACTCACAAACAACACCCTAGATTATCACTCTATTATGTTTGGAACCTATTAATAGCCAATAACTCCACAAGCTTCATAATGATCAAGATATCCTCCATGCAAGCAAGTAACATAAGCAGGTATAAATCTTAAAAGCAGGTAGAGATCCTTAAAACCTCCATCTATGCATGATAAACTCCAATGTCCATGTACATGTGAAAGAACTCACATGGGACACAAAATCACATATGATCTACCTCATCAAAAATATGCTACTGGTCTAGTCAGCATCTGCCACATTAACATTTAAACCTCTTGCGAAGATTAAGTAACCAACAAAACTCCAGTGCCAATGTGATACAGAATTGACATGTTCTATCTTGATTGTCCAAGTACTATGTATAGAACTGTAGACAATTCATACTCACTTATGAGCAGGTATAGAATATAGAATTTTGAAGCCCTTGTATGTGCATGGTGAATGCCATGCGCATGAGACATGATTATGTGTCATGAGGCTATTGTTGATGCATGTAAGAACTGGCCTGTAATAATACCATCAGCACCAGGAGATGGAACCAACACTTTATCTTGAGGGTATAAATGCACCAAGGAAGAAATTACTAGGAAAATATCAAAAAATAAAATACTAGGATAGTGACATATGCGAACACCCTATTTTTCATTTAAGGGGCAATCTTACAATGAAAAGATAAAAGATACCCTCATTTATGGTAAATAAAAATATTATTAAATCAATCACTTTTTTTGTTGCAAAATTGTGCACCATTTACCACCCAAATCTATTAGAAGTTGTTTCTGTTAGAGGTCAGGTAGGCATGTTGTTCTCATCATCTAAGTAGACTTCACTTTCTTACTATAGTTCACACCAATAAAATTTAAGATTGTACATAATGGGGAACATAAAAAGTGGAGTATGCCTAAATAACAATACAACCAAAATAACTCATAAATAATAATGTCAACAATATAATGAAATAATATTGTCAAGGTCATAATAGAATAGGTTTTATTAAAGAGCCTATGTACTTAGCTGTGTAGTTCCCATAAAAAATTAGACAATGGTTACTTTCTTTTCATTGGAAGTCTCCCTAAATCCTCTTTCAGACTTCCAGTATCCACTTCTATGGTTACACTTTACAATTTCTCCTTTCAAAAAAAAACTTTATTTTTTATTAATAAACAACGACAACATGGTAAAAGAAATGGCTAGGAAACACCAATCAGACAGATTTGGTTTCTTTAAACAAACATAAAGGTGGAACGATACCATCTATCATAATAATAATCCTATTATAGGTTGATGCTCCACATTCCCCCCCCCCNAATTTACATAGCACACAAAATTAGTATCAACTAAAGTTTCATAGCTTCAATCAGCAAAAAATATGGCAGTTTTATCTTCCAGTGTTTATTCATTTTGTTAATCCTCTTTATAGATAGTAGGTGCAATAGGGTACAATACAACTCCTCACTACCACAGAAGGTAAGGCAGATTTCTTGCCCACGACAAATACATATACAAATATATAAAGACGCATCCATATGAATACATATATACATACATATACACATACATCCATATATAAAAATGGACCACAAAAATGGCTAAATAGGGATCAAAATGGACCATATTGTAAACTGAGAATAAAAAGAAGCATTTCCTGTAGCATGAAATTGAATGAACTTCACAAAGAACCTTGGTTAAGAAAAAATAATAGAAATTAATAACTATTAATCATCCTTACCGACATGGGATGGAAGAACTGTAATGTGTGGATGTGAATGATACCACCCAATCACTCTTGTTGTTCTTCCTGTTGCCAGTGTCATTCTGTGCCATTAAAGAGTCAAGTTGAACTTGAAGATACTAACCAACTGGCTTCAAATTTCAAATATCCAGAAAAGGCAGAACAATGAATGAAGCCAAAAATTATTTACCAAAAAAAATGAAACCAAATATGCTAAGCACATAAGAAACAAAGTATCAAGGATATCTCAGCCTGAGCTGATGCAGCAGCTAATTGTTCTGGATTAGTCTCTACCCGATCCTTGCGACGATCAGACCGCGTCTGAGGTGATGCTCCCCAGATTAGTGCGGTTGCACTCCCATTGTTTAAGTACTGAATATAACCAAGTAACCAACATCAAAACCAGAATTAAAGGGGAAACAGTAAATATTGAAACTAATACAAAGATTCATTGAGCTTGTATTCAACCACTGAACCATTTGCTAGAAAGAATGATACAAAAGAAAAAAAAAAAAAAACAACATTGAGCAAATAACTGATCATCAAAAAGGCCTTTTTTATCCCATTTAATGTGCCATGCACCTGGAAGGTTCCATGGCCTAATGTATGACCAAAAGCATAATAAAACAAGACAACCAGCATGTAATGTCAGGGGGGGGGGGAGGAAAAAAAACCAAAATAAAATAAAATCGTGTTTCGCTTCTTAATCCAGGCTAGTTTCACCAGAATAATGACACAATTATTTTGTGAAAATTGCAGATAACATCACTTTCGGTTATCAAGTCCTGTCAATAAGGCACTCAAGATATACCTCCATCAAGCAATGCCAGCAATATTTCCATTAATGCCAAATCCATGGTTAGATTATACAGAATGACACCTAAGAAATCTGAAGGATAAAATGGAGGGGAAAGAATCTGTTCCCTAGAATCCCTAAATCAGAAAGCAGCAACCGTTTGATCAATTCCAATCATATGGGAGTTCCAGTCTACACCTTGAGCATAAGGTTGCACTTGTTTCTCCATAAAATGGACATGATTTTTTTTTCTGATTGAAATATTTCAACCATTATTTTTGTCCCTTTTACAGCTAAAACTTTGTTTTTACACCCCGTCTGATCATCTGATGTGATGATTGAAGAAATACAATTATTAGAACTTAATCCATCAAAATTGCATTTAGCAACTCGAAACCACTTGATTATGGCAATACTTTTCATGGAGTGGGAAAACCAGTAGGTCAAATAGAGATCTGATAACAATTTAAAACACCTAAATGAAGACATACAGAACCCATCACATTACTATAACTTACCCAGTAGATATCATAAAAATACTAACCAGAAGAACTAAAAAGAATTAAAAAGAAAAAGAACCAACTTCATTTCAAATTGTAAAGACCAAATTCGTTTCAAATTCCCCAACCCAACCATATTGATCCAATCAGAGAACCTCCAAAAGGTATCACATAACAAAACATTAGAAAACACAGGAGCTTATCCGATACTTTCAAATAAGTAACAGACAATAATACCAAAATAAATAAGTAAAAGACAATAACCCAGTCGATTCAATTCCTAATATTCAATAACAAAGTACCAGTAAGAAAACCCAGCGCAAAATTCACAAATTACAAGACAAAGAGATGAAGAAAACAATCAAAAGCCACAAAATTCTGTACTTACTGAACTCCATTTCCACAGAAACAAAAATAGGATCTCTTCCATTGTTTTAAATGCGCAATACTCAACAGCTAAACAGAATTAAGTTTCATTAATAATAAAACCACTTATCACAATAAACTCTTTAGAAAAGATCACCAAGTAATAAAACAAGAAAAAACTTCACAAATCAACCCAAACCCCATTAAGCCTTAACTCCTTCCACCCCATTTCCAGCTGAATCACACCCCCCCCCCNCCCCCCAAACCCAACACCCCTGAACTGGAACGAAGAAACCCAGAAGCTAAAGTTCATGAATATCGAATCCAACAATTATAAAATCAAAGAAATCAAACTGACCTGGATGTCTCCGAGAAGAAGACCCATGATTTCTTCTGTCTCCGTAGACAATGCATGCGTAAGGCATGTTAACCAGACATCTTCCGACATTTTCACACACGTTAAAGACATTTTTGTTCTTATTCTGTTCTCAATTTTTCCTTCGGAAACCTGAAGTCCTGAAGATGGATAGAACCAGATTCCTAAGATCCTCTAGGCTCCGCCTTACCTGAGCCGAGAGGAAGCAAGGAGAGAGCTTCTAGGCGCTGGATGCCTGGATCTCAGCGCACGCTGATGTGGTAAGACCAGTAGCCCTCAGAAAAAATTGATACCGGACTTGTATGCGGTTTGATCTGTGAAACAAATCATCGTTCACCGTCGTTGATGATATCATGGTAAACCAATCAAACGTCTATAGATCTCCTGGAAATTATATCAACGTCTGTAATGCTTTCTTTCACAGTTATCGACGTTTTCCTTTCTTTGGGTGACAATTACGGCACCGTCTGGCTGCAGCGCCATGCAGTTGAGGGTGTTTTGGTCATTTTATAGAGGGTGTTTTTGGTCAAATTAAATATGAAAAGCCAGTGTTTTTCCTAAATGTTAACGCTTCTAGACGTCTGCCACGTAGCCTCGTGATAGACAGCTGGAAAATATTTCCACATTGGCATGCGGCATGTGGTCTCTTAGCTAGGTGACAACTGGCAAAAAAATATCAGAAGGCCGGGTTCGGTATCGGTTAGCTTCGACATCTCACCACAGCCCGCTGAACAGCTAACGCGATCAGCTAAACCTTGTTCGCGGAAAAATTCATGAGACTACACAACACCGGTCACCTGGGAGCCCATCCCCTGTGCCCATGGAAAATGAGATTTGCTCCCAAGTCTCTACTACAGCGAACCAAAACTCCTACAATTGAGATACCATCAGTTGGTAGAGGGCTTTAAATACATTGAGATACCATCAGTTGGAAAATGAGATTTGCGTCTATGAATGTGGTTAAAATTTGCCAAGTTTTGGGCACTCTACCTCAAGCACTACCACCAATTGGTTGCAAAGTTTTGTAAGAATTTTCTCAATGTATTTAAAGCTCAGTTTGGAAGGAATATAAAGACAAATATGTAGCCTAAGTGTATTTTTTCACTCTATATATTTGTATTTGTACTCCTTCCAAATGGAGCCTAAGTGTATTTTTTCTTTCTATTGTGTTCATATATATCCAACGTGTATCACAATACATATTCATATTCATATCTAAAGGTGCAAATTTCGGACTCAAACTTTATCCAACCTAAAGTCAAGCTTCACTTTATCAACCTAAATCCAACTTGAACTTAACCCAATACAAACCATGCCGACTAGCAATCAGCTTGGGGCGAGCCAAGCTTACTAGGGTTTTGGGTGGGTTGATCAGGTTTGAATGAATTTTATAAATATATTTTTGTATAGTCATCTTTTATTGGTTTTATGGACTAATTTAGGAATATAATTGATTAAAAATATTTACAAATGTATATATATATTTATTTTATACATACACAATTAAAAAATATATATTTTATATATCTATAAATACATGTATATATTTATTCAGATAGGCACAGGTTAGGTCAGGCTAGACTTAAGCTATCCGATGCCTCAAACCAAGCCCAACCCATGTTTAAATCAGGCTCAAATATTTTATCCCAGACCTAGCCCTCACAAGACTTCTGATGGGTGAGACCAGCATAAACTTTTTTAACTCTCACACAAAAAAAAAAAAAAACAGTCCATTATCTCTCATTTAAAAAAGAAGTGCTCTCGTAACTGTGAACAACAAAACCACAACATGATATTGTGAAAGTTCAAGATTTTGTTGCTTTCATCCATCCACCATACCATGAAAAAGAGGAATTCTTCCTTCTTTATAAAAGGAGAGACAAATTTTCTCCAAACCAAATTCGTTACGCAAAAATTGCAGGCTTGCTTTTGCCACGTGGTAAGGGTGTCTCCTACACCTTTTTCCAGTGGTTCTACCATGTTTTTTCTTTTAATTTTTATTTTGTATTAGTTCCACACCATGGTTAAAGACTTAACTCTTAATAGTAATGTTTTGAAAATATATTAATGGGAAATGGGTGCTCTCTGCCTCCAGGAAATGGAATCTACTTGTGCAAGTAGATCCCACGTGAGAGCAACTCAGATCCGTGGCTGTATTTCCCTTTAATTACTGCCATTATCAATTATAAATAATTACTATTATTATAAATATTGTTAATAACTAGATATTTACTTTAATTTTATATTAAATTAAAATTATAAATATTGTTATTAAAAAATACTGTTAATAAATTCAGTAACCCAGTTTTAATAATTACTGAGTATTACAGTAATTAATTACTATAATTAAATAATTACTGATTATTACAGTAATATATATAATTAGTGAGTATAATTAATAATTACTGTTATTATAAATAATGTTAATAACTAGATATTTACTTTAAATTAAAATCATAAATATTGTTATTAAAAAATACTGTTAATAAATTTAGTAACCCGGTTTTAATAATTACTGATTATTACAGTAATTTAATAAATATACAATTAGTGATTATAATTAATAATTGCTATTGTTATAAATATTGTTAATAAATAGATATTTACTTTAATTTTACTTTAAATTAAAATTATAAATATTGTTATATTAAAAATAATTAAAAATGTTATTAAAAGTATTGTTATTGATTATTTAATAAAATATTATAATTACTGATAAATAATGTTAATTTAATTTAATTTTGGTAATTATTAATTTAATGAATATTCTTAATAAATCCTATTCATAAATTTAATAATTAATGTTATATTAAAAATAACTAAATAATATTATTAAAACTATCATAAATGATTATTTAATTAAATAGTATAATTACTTACTATTATTGATAAATATTGTTAATAACGTTCTGACAACCGACGGTTCGAACGGATGGCCCGTTTTGACAACAAAAATTACAAGCAAAAAATTATGGAACCGTTCTGGCCATTAGTTTTTGGGTCGATGGTTCGATCATTCGGTTCAAATGGACAGTCCGTTCTGGCAACAAAAATTATAGGTAAAAATTTGAGTTTGTGAGGTCTATTAAGTAGTATCATGCGTGTTATGTCATTCGAGCGTGTGACTCATACGACTTGAAAATGGAACCGTTCTGGCCACCAGTTTTTGGGTCAACGATTCAATTGTTCGGTTCGAATGGATGGCCCATTCTAACAACAAAAAATTACAGAAACGTTCTGGTCACTGGTTTTTGGGTCGATGGTTCAATTGTTCGGTTCGAATGGATGACCCATTCTGACAACAAAAATTACAGGCAAAAACTTGAGTGTGTGAGGTCCATTGAGCAGTATCGTACATGTTATGTCATTCGAGCGTGTGACTCATACAACCCGAAAATGGAATCGTTTTGGCCATCGTTTTTTAGTCGATGGTTCGACCGTTCTGTTCGAACAAACAGCCCGTTCTGACAATAAAAACTAAAAAAATCAAAAAAAACGGGCAAAAACCATTGAACGGGTCAACGGGTTGATGGCTCAACCACTCAGGTCAATGGGTCGTTGACAGATTCAACGGTTTTTTGCCAGGGATCGGGATTGGGGTAAAACAGAACTGGTTTCCTAGACGGTTCCCAATTAAAAAATAAATAAAAAAACAGATGACCCATTGTGAGGTCCATTAAGCACTACCATACGTGTTATGTCATTCGAGCGTGTGACTCATATGACATAAAAACGGAACCATTTTGGCCACCAGTGGTCGACTGTTCAATTGTTCGATTCAAACGGATGACCCGTTCTAACAACAAAAATTAAAAATTAAAAATAAAAAACAACCAAAAATCATTGAACGGGTCAACGGTTCGACCACTCGGGTCAATGGGTCATTGACTGATTCAACGATTTTTTGCCAAGGACCAAGATTAGGATAAAACGGAACCAGTTGCCTGGATGGTTCCCAATTAAAAAAAATAAAAAACAGCCAAAAACCATTGAACGGGTCAACAGATCAATGGTTCAACCACTCAAATCAATGGATCATTGACCGATTCAACAGAAACTCATCCTTTCTGATTTATCTGTAAACCTGCCAATCCAATCTGTTTTTTTTTTCTCCAAAATATTGATTAAAAATGGAAAAAAAATTATATAAGATGAGGCGGCAGTTGTTTGATTGGCAAGTGGTAACGTTCTATTGGGTTGTAGCGTGTAGGAAAAGACCTAGAATTGAATTCCGGGGATGGGATCTTCTCTTGTATGTTATCCATTCGTCTAGCAAAAGAAATGTCACCTTACGATCCTTAATTCGCTGGATTTTCACCTTGCGTCCAACCAAACAAAAAATTAATGTTCAACACTTTTTCACCATCCTTTATTCTCTGGATTTTCAATGTATTTGGTATAACGTTTTTGTTTTGAAACATTTTGGGTTTATCAATATAGATTGGATATGTGTTGTCATATGAGAGCCATTTTTGCTAAAATGTACTTTAGACTTCATCCCTCCTCTACCCGGGAAAAAAAAAATCAATTTGATGACACTTTTACAAACAGCCTCCAAGACTACATTTTTAAAGTATGTCTGTTTCAATTGTAAACGATCAAAGGCTCGGTTTAAAAAGAGAATAAATAAATAAATAAATAAATATATATATATATATATATATATATATATATATATATATATNATATATATATATTTGTATTCCTTTCAAATTAAGCCCAAGGCTGTGTTTGGTTGTAGTACAAATTTATTTGTATTAATACAAATGCATGGAAGTGTAAATGTAAAAAATGCAATTTTTTGTTTAATCTTGTTTTGGATTTTACTTTATGCCGTTTCATATCTTAATTTACTTTATTTTTACTGCAATCAAACAAAATAAAATAAAATTTGAAACAAGGTTTTGCATCAGTGCAAATTTAATTGCATTGCAATCAAACACAGCCTAAATAACAATTGTGTTCATGTAAAAACAGCAATAGTAGCAAAATAACCTTTATTGCACTCGATAACCAAACACAGCCTAAATAACAATTGTATCAGATTCTCAAGGGGTTGGCATATGTAGCACGGGTAGAATTCTAAAATATCCTTGCAATTCCAACCATGTTAGTCTGTATTGTATTAGTATCCGTTGATGGTATTGATGTCAAAAAAAAAAAAAAAATTAAGGCTGCGTTTGAAACAATGCAAATAAGTGTGAGTGCAAATATGTAGAGTGTAAAACAATTCATATAAATTGCAAAATTGGGTCAGTTTTGCACCGATAAATTTATCTTCTTACCAAACATACTTTTAGCTGTAATGGATGCAAACATGAATTATTCCAATAAAGCATATGCTTTTTTTTTTATCAAAAGCCCACTTGAATACAAATTTATTTTTTTTTATTAATGTAGTTTAACATCTTATTATCAATGTAAATATGCATTGGTCTGTCATTTGTCAATGCATAAATGTAATGTTGTCAAATACAAGCAAAAGTGAACCAGAGTGCAAATTTACCCTGAACTGAAATTTACACTTCATTTGCATCATTTCCAAATGCAACCTAAAGCAAAATTAAAATAAATGATCATTAAAACTAGTATTATACTTGTAGTCAATCAGATTTAGACTGATATTATTGACCATGGGATGATTTTTATGACTTTCTCATGTGCATTCATGTATATATGTTAATTATTCCATGGCATTGTACCTGAGCATGCATCCCTATTTGTATCTTAGGCTCAGTTTGGAAGGAATATAAATACAAATATGTACAATGTAAATACATACAAAATAATATAAAATACAAGGTTTTACACTTCTATATATTTGTATTTGTACTATCCTTTAAAACTGAGCCTTAGGTTCTATTTGCTTGCGATGCGATTCCATTTGTATTAGTACAAATGAATGAGAATTATGCAAAATTTCGTTTGTTTTTTACTTGGCTTTTAAATTATTCTGCTTTAATTTTCATTGTATATTATATACACTGCAAATAAACAGAATAAAGTGAAACACGACAAAGTTAGACCATTATTGGACTCTAACTCATAGATGATGAAGAGAGAGAGAGAGAGTTACATTATGAGAGAGAGTGAAATACTCTCCCTTCTTACAAGAATGAAACAACATAACCACCTCCATAAGGGAAATGGCTTAAGCTAATAACAGAATTACAACATGATGGAAAGAAATAGTAATTCTGACTTGTGGGTATAACAAATTAAGTAGTCTCCGTCTCACATCCTATCCTTAGCCAGGGTAATGCCAGGGTTATCTTCGTTGTTGAGGTTGCCAGGGTTATTGGAATTACCGTCGGTGTTCATCCCCAGAGTGTTCTTCACTTTTTCAGCTGCGTCTTGAGCCATGTTCTTTACTTGCTCCCCAGTCTCCAATAAAATATACATATAACAAGTTAGAATAATACATAGATAAATGACTCTGGTTTGAGAATAACCAATCCATTTTTATTCGATCGACTTATTGTGAACCGGCCTAGTTTGGAGTGATCAAAAACATTGCCATGCTTTTTTTGGTATTACATAATACACACTAGTGGGGATTTAGGGGGGCTTGGGCTCACACAGAGCAAATTGGATATCTATTACCATTTATAAAAATGAGAATGATCAATTTCTTTGGTCGAACACTCTGATTTTTATTTCCAATTTTACCTCTTTTAATATTTTTGAATTGATTGGCGAACAAACTCAAAGCCTTTTATTTTGCCCCTATATATAACAAAAGACAAGTGTCCCAAAATACTAATAGCAAAAGTATACATGATTTCTCTCAATTTATTTCTACAGTGAGCATAAGCCACGTGCAAAGAAGTGAGGGCCCACTTCTATTTCAAGTACACTTGTTTAAAACTGTATTTGGAGGCTCTACATGAAGGCAAAAAATTTCATGGCAATGTATACGTGGTGCGCTACTGTGGAGATTATGATGTAAAGGAAATGTTAGGACATAATTTCATGATTTGAAAATTGTGAAATAATTTTTAATGTCAAACTATTGAGGTTATTAATAGTTAAAAAGTAATAGTAATAAGTTTTAAAATGATTTACAATTATTACAAAAATATTGATAATTTAATAATAATTATTTTGTTATTCAATAATTTGATAATTTCATAATGATGGTAATTTCACTAGTTTTCATAAAATTGGTCATCATACCCACCTCACAGTCCTTACAACCGTGCCATCTCCCATGAATAAAAACATACAAGAATGATAATGTTCCCAATGCAATGCATGGCTACACAGGACTGTGAGAGATAGGTGTGAGGACCAATTTTGTGAGGATGAAATCAGAAGCCTTGGTAGAGGCCCACTAGCCATACCACATGGATTCTGCAATTCTATGGGTTTAATGCCATGCCTCCTTTTTTGAAAGGATGCAGAGTGACCATCTCAAGTAGTGGGTCATCAGCATATTGAAGGGTCTAACCAGTGTTAAATCCAATTTGGAGTAGCTACTGCTTCAACTTTTGCAGTTGGGGTCCTCTCTCTCTCTCTCTGGGTCATCTGTTGATGATCTTGAATTGGGCAATGTCATAAGATTGATAGAGATCAGATACATAGGACCAGATGGGTTGGAGACAAATCATGTACACCAAGTTGGACAACCTCTCACAAGTGAATATGCTAGAATTCTGTACACATGAGCCACATGAGACCCACACCTTATCCATGTGAACTATTCACTCATACTAGATTGTTCAGCCCAATGTGTATGATTTTGTTTCTAGCCAATCTGAACTCAGATCACATATATATATTTTAACCACAGAAAGATCTGTACCTGTTGAAGAAAGGTTGTCGTTTGGTCCATTGTTTCTTTGGCGGAATTTCTAATAGATTCGGCAGTTTCAGCTACCTTATCCTTGGCAGCTAGGACAGTTTCAGCTACCTTCTCCTGGCTCATCATACTCGTCTCATCCTTCCTAGCCTGCCCAAAAATTAACAAAAAATGTGGAAGAGAAAAAGAAATTGGGAGAGAGAGACAGTGATGTCATGACATTCATGGATTACATTTCAAGTATGACAGTGAATTCATCATGATTAATTATTATTAGGGAAAAGTACGGATAGGACACAGGCCCAATGCAGATTTATGACTTTTACTGTAGAATTATAAACATTCAAAATGTCAATAATCCACACTCTATGCATCAAAGCTCACCTTTAAATTGGCATCAATTCCGAATTAACACCTATCCCAACAGTACTTTAGGCCTATAAATTCTGACCCTGGACTGAACCGTCATTCTCCCTTAATACGAAAAAACATGTATGGCATGACACAACATTTAAACAGATTAATTGAAACTCTCAAAGCATTAATGATGAAACAGGATTCATAGGGATAAGACTTAGATGACGATGACGATGTAGAAAATCCAGAAAGGTCAATCACCTGTGCGTGATTGGTACTTTCAATGGCATCGTATCTTATATTCTGCTGGCTTGCCATCTTTCTTTAATTTCTTCTTTGAATCAACACAAAAACGAAAGATATAGAGATATGACAAGGGGCTTGAACCTCTTTTAGTCTCCCAAATTCTCTGTGTGAAGCGCAAAGTTCTTTGGATGGTCATTTATAGCTTTTAGTGTCCATCTGTAGGGTTACCACGTACGTGTAATACCCATTAATTAGATGGCTCTTGAGACTTTGGGTAAAGCAAACCCTTCCAATACATTTCCGCTTGACCAGGGCCTTGAAAATGATGAACGCCTCAAACAAGAAGCTCTTTGGGAGGAGAAAGATGTCATCAAAAGAAAATATTTTAACAAGAAATTCTCCTCAGATCTGAAAGATAGGCCTGAAGGAGTCCGATCTCTTAAATTTAAGGCTTTGTGCTAAGTTCTTTGATTGTGTTATATCCAAGACGATAGTCGCACCCTTTAAGTACGCATACTAAGAAATTGTTTAGTATCGATGGTGTTTATAAGATAAACGTTTTGTACGATTTTGTCTTAAAAGATGAGGCAAAATCTGTTTTAAACCTTTTGTACAATTTTTTTACATATCAGCATCATTAGGTGCCATATAAGCCAAACAGTAAAAAGTCGGTCTTGAAAATGAAAAACATCAAAATTGGTGTTTTTAATAATTGGTTCACACGATTTTCAAGAGAGTCATTTATCAGATAAATGGCTCGACCAAATAACTTTTTAGGCATTTTTTGTTAAACGCATCTCCAATGCTGAACTGGCACCATTTTCTTCCAAAAGCTATATCGATACCAAACACCATCTAACTAAGCACCACTCTCATTTTTGAGATTCTTGACTGATCATCAAAAACATTCATGATGAATTCGGATGTATTCTTTAACGGTTAATGTACAACTTAACACAAAGACTTAAGTTTAAGTGATTTTACCAAAGTGCCTTCCTGCACATGACTTTGGGCTTGGGCTTAAAAGTTAAAATAGGGCTCCAGTCATCTGTTTCTGAAGTAACAGAACAAGGGTTTTCACCATGGACAAATGGTTCCTAGTCATATGTTTAGTGAACCCATAGAGATATGGGCCGAGTTTGAATTTAGGACAAAAAAAAAGGAAATAATGAAGAGGTTCCCTCCCATAGTAAAGGGATACAAAGTTCATAGTTTTGAACTTGAGTCAGAATCCTCTGCACCTTTTTCCTGCACTTGTTGCGTTAAGGAATCAGGTTGTGTTTGGCATGCTTTTAAAAGAATTGATTATGGTGAATTTTGTGATTCTAAGAATCACTTTTAGGTTTGAATTTATGAAAATTGTTGTAATGAGTTCTTTTTTCTAGGTTCAAAATTTATTCCAGGAATTGATTCTTTGAACCTAAAAAGTCTAAAGATTCTTTAAACCTAAAGGTCTTGATATTAAAGCAGTGATTTATTGGAGCATAATTATAATGAATTCTGATGCAGTCCTCACAACTGTTCTAAGATGTTCTCAATGCACTGCTGCAAAAGGATGTAAGGACAATGTGAGGACCAAATCTGGTCTGAAAATTATACGAGTTTTCCACTGATGTTATTGGTTTGGAGCTTGGGTCTCTTGAAAACAAAAAGTCTAAGAGTATGGGGTCCAGCTGCACATCAGGAATATTTCCCATACATGTATGTTAAATTCAAAGGAAGAAGAGGGGTCGTAAATTCAAAAAAGGTCAACACCTAAATAATCAAAGGAAAAAGAGGTGTGTAAATCCTCAAAGCCAAATAAAGGTTGTCACCCACTATATTTGACATGATTTTATGTTTTCTTTTTTATCCTTTAGGAGTCTATGTTTCATTGGTTTGGTTCGCTGAGGGGTAAGGTCTATGTCCTGGCGTAGTTTGGAAACAAATCACATTCAAAGAAGCTTCAAAGAAAATAACCAAAGCCGTAAAACAAGAAGAAGAATAATTCTTCACTAAATAATTAAGAAAAAAACAACAGAACTTTACTAGTTTTGGTCTAGCTACTCTTTATATAGACTTCTTTACACCCTTATGCCTCCTACAAGAAAGTTCCCTAATCTAATTGAACACTCCTTATTAGAACCCTACTAAATCTCTTCAAAAAAGCAAGAAAGTCCTAATTTAATACAAATTCGAAAATCTCGTTGAAATGCTAACTTAGTAATGCAAATCAAGATAGATAAATCCTACAATGATGCTATCTTGGTAAATACGAACTGAAATGGGTCATCGGAAGCCAACCTAATAAATGTTTACTCAATTGGGCCAAATCCCGTACTGCATCATGTCCCCCCTCTTTTAATTAATAAATTTTCTTTTTTCTTAAAAAATGAAAAAAAAAACTTGGAGAGGTATTCCCAATGTGTGATTAGATACCTATGCTTTGAGAGTTTTTTCTTTCAAGATATCTCATTACACTGGTTTGATGAATAATAAGAACTTCCATGATCAACTTTTTTGTTTCTCTCTTATTTTCTATGAAACCAAGCATAACCTAAGTTCTAGAGGCCAATTGCTTAGTATAGCAAGTGAGGAGGGAAAGTACAGCAGCTTCGGATTCTATGTTACATATGGTGTTTGAATTATGAAAAAATATATATTCACATATGCAAGAGGAAGCATTTGCCCCCTCTCTTTGTTTTTCTACTACATGACCAATCACCGGTGTATCTCTCTTCTAACTTGCTTCCAATTCCTGAAATCCCTTTCGTACCTACTTTCTATCTTTCACTTTGAAACGTTTTTTCTTCTTAAAATCCTCTATCCTATCTCTTCTCTTACTTTCTCTCTCACTCCAAATTAAAAATCTTACCCTCTTATATTGGATTTTTATTTTTATTTTTTGCCCATGCTTGTGCATCTAGGGATGCAACTTGGGTGGTCTCAAGTTAGGATTTTATCAAAATTTGAATGGAATAAGCCTGAAAACCACGACTCAAGTTTAGAAGAGGTGGATACGAATTAAGCTTTTCACAAGTAATTCGAGCTCAACTCGTGAAAAACTCGATACGGCTCGGTCTAAACTAAACTTCAAGCCAAACTCAAGCTCAATATATAGGCTCATTTGCTAATTGAGCTGAGCTCAAGCCTGATAAAGCGCTCAACTCATGAGGCTCATGAGTCTAATTGAGCTTTTATAAAATATTATATATATAATATTTTTATTTTTTATATGTACAATAATAACTAGTCGAGTCGAGCTTGAACTTACAAGCTTTAGAGTTGAATTGAATTTGAGCTCAAGTCTTTAGCTTGAATTGAGCTCGAGCTCGAACTTGAGCCTCATATATTTAGGTAAGCTGAGCTCAAATAGCCAGATATTCGGCTCATCTCGGCTCAAGCCCACCCCTACTCAAATGTAAAATTTTTAAATTAGATAACTAACTTGCACCCCTAGTGCATCCACAAGGATGCACCCCTAGTGCATCCACAAGGATGCACCAGTTGTCCTGCTTGTATCTACTATCTATACCATATATTATATTAATTAGGAAGGTAACTATGAAACTCTCCCTTTAAAATTTAATTCAAATGTGAGATTAGCTAGGTATGTATTCTCTATCCTTTTTCTTTAAACTTTTGTTTTTCTCTTTAAGTTGCATAAGAATGCAGTGAAAAAAATCCATTTTGTAAAAGTTAGTTGATGGAAAAATCCATCATGTAAAAGACTATCGGTTTAAAATTGCATGGACTGTTGGGAATTTTTAAGTGAGAACGGATGTAAAAGTACATCGATTTTATCGATGCATCATTTACATTGATTAACAATGTAAAAGTCAACAAAAAAATAGGATTACATTGACTTTTTATGTAACTTTTACATGGGAAACAAGTGGCTGCAAAAATAGATTGGGTGTAGAGTTTTACACTGGTCCACTTTTACACCGAAAACAAACAAGTGTAAATTCAAGCCAACAGTTAAGTTTTACATCAATTAACATTTACACCTCAATCAAATGCAGCCTTATGTTTTAGTACCATATGACCAATCACTATTGTTCAGCTCTCTTGTAACTCTTAAACTCCTACTTTCTCTCTTCCAATCAAAATGATTTTTCCCTTCCTAAAATTTTCTCTCCAAATTCTTATCCTACTTTCTTTCTTCCAATTCAAAATGTTTTTTCCTTCCTGAAAATTTTCTCTCCTAACTCTCCTCCTACTTTATATTCTCACCAATATATATATATATATATATATATATATATATATTCTTTAAAAGTGTTGGAAATTCGATGCATGGGCTCTCATGCTAGTATATATAGTAAAACAAAGCCCTCAAACAAGGGGCTCTTCCTTCAAAAGTGGCTACCCTTCCATATTCGAAAAAGGGGTTTAAATAAAATTTAATTCGAATGAAATATACATAGAGAGAGAGATGGTCCCATGTCTGTTGTTTTCTAATCTAGTTTCCTAACTCAAATTAAAAAACCCAACACAGAGGATTTCAAGAAATTTTGTTGTCCAAGTTATATTTTCTGAAAAAAAAAAGATGTTTTACGAATTAAGACTTACATGGATATATAGTGGGTCTCAAATAAAATACTTATGCTGATGACCTAGTAGTCCAAATTAGGGGTGCCCATGAAAAACCGAAAAACCGAACCGAATAGAGAAAATTAAACCGCAAAATGCGGTTAACCGAATCGATCAGTTCGGTTTGGAATTTTTGAAAAACTAAAGGACCGATTCGGTTTTTCAGTTAACCTACAAAAAATGACAGTTAACTGAACCGACCGGTATATATATTTTATATATTTTTTTAATATGTCACATATTTTCTATATATTATATATAAATATATATAAATACATTCTTATATTATATTTATAATAATCTATTTATAAATATATTATATATTTTTAAAATATTTATAATATATTATATATCATTTATTATTTATAATATAATATTATACATATATTTATATAATATATATTATAAATATAAAAAAATCGAAGAACCAAAGAACCAAACTGGTCAAAAACCAAAACCGGCGGACCAATTAACTGGTGGTACCGGTTTGGAGAAATGGAAAAACCGATACCACCGGTTTGGTTTTGCAAAAATTGCCCATGGTTCGGTTAACCGAACCGTGAACACCCCTAATCCAGATGATATTGACACTCCTCCAAGTGGGTGGTGTGGGATCAAATCTCTAGAATCACAATCTCTCCTTCTCCTTGGTATGGCTAATGAACCTTACGTGCACCCTGATCAGCCCCATTCATGTTAATTACCTTTTAGTGTGTAGTATGTAATACCAAAAAAAATACAAAAATACTTACTTATAGTTGTTTAATGCATAGTAATTAGCTAACGAAAATAAAAGATAAATACCATGGTTTTCAAACTGCCATTGACCTAAACAGTCAAACCGTTCGGCCTGGGAACTGTTTAGGCAGTTGGTTCCATTTTACCCCAAACTCGGTCCCTGACAAAAAACCGTTGAATCAATCAATGACCCATTGACTTAGGTGGTCGAATCATCGACTCATTCAACGGTTTTTGGCCATTTTATTTTTTATTATTTTTTTAATTTTTTTATTAGAATGAATCGTCTATTCAAATTGAATGATCAAAACATCAACCCAAAAATCAGTGGCTAGAATAATTCCATTTCCAAATCGTTTTTTAAAACCATAATAAATACATGGAGAATCCTAACAAAAACTAATGGTAATAAGGCAAAATCAATAATATATTCTATGAAAATTGTTACAACATAGCTCAAACATGAATGATGATATGAAATCAATGTTAAGACTCCCTAAATCCGGTTGGATTTCACTTCAATTACGAGACAGGTTATTTTGATAACCAAATCTGAATTTGTCTGGAAAGAACCCAAATCTGTTTGACTCAGTTCTTGAGTTATACAGCCCTACTCAAAGCTAGCAGTACGTTAGATATATATTCAACAGACCATGATCCATGATATCCAGGATTTAAACTATTTATCTCCACGGTGGGTTTAACCAGCTCAGTAATGGGTCCCAATCGTCTGAGTTCTGGACATCTAGCAAGTGATGTGCCATGCGCCATGGCGGTGCCAAGGTATCAAAAGAGGTTTCTGACTCTACAGGGACCCATACTTTGGCTCTGAGCCCTCGTACTTAGCTTGACGCCAACCATTTCGATCAGATTGCATCCACCTAACGTTACCATGGCCAAATAATCTCCACCGCCCTTCAGAAGAAATTACTTAAGAGGATGAATACAAAAACAGTCACAAATATCCATTTCTTTGATTATTGATCTTTTCGTGAATGCTGCAGCCACGTTTCCCCACCAAGAACCCAGATGATTCCGAAGATTCTATCTCCCAAACTTTCAACAAAGCAATGTGGCAATCAAATATAGAGATTGCTCATCCTCCTAGATCTAGATGTCTTTCTGCTCGATCTTCTAGGCTCTAGCCACAGATTATTGTGTTATTCTGTCTTCTAGCTATTTTAATCTCTCCCTAGAAAAACCCATCTGACCAATATCAGCCTCATAGCTTACACTTGTTGAGAAGCTGGACACGAGTCCAACATTTTTAATTTTGCAGAGGTTATAAATATGCATGCGCAAGAGACTCTAGTCGTTACAGAAGATCTCGATCAATCTATTTATCGGCGATTCCAAATTCGAAAGTTCTGTTGAGTTATTTGGTGCAATCGTTCTAATCCAACCTGCGCAGGAGGAGAAAGATGGCAGATCAGGAGCAGTTGTACAGAACCAGCGAGGCTGAAGACCAAGCTCAGGTAAGTACTTGAACACTCTCAAAGTAGTCATGAACCAGAGTTGCATGTTTAGTTGGTTTCATCTACCCACTGATTGAAACTGTAGCACAGTGATCACCAGAAATAGTATTCAAGTTTTCTGCGTTTGGTAAAAAATGCTGAACCAGCAAATTTGCATTCTGGTTCAGTTTTAATTTGCAGGTATTTCCTGTATTGAAAATGAGAGTAAATTTTCTTTTCACGTATTTGCCTTCAAAATCGGAGCAAAATTTAGATATATACCATTCAAAATTTCTCCTAATTTCCTTATGCATCCACTCAGTTTGTCCTCTGCTTTTTTAATCACAAGTGTGTTAATGGAGTGTTCGGATGTCTTACCCACACATCACTACACTACAACCTTACATTCCGAACATCTCACCTATTTGCATGTTATCATAGATATTAATTCTCAATATATAACTGTAGTATCCTTTGCGTACTTACCCACACATCACTACATTGAGAACATCTCACACATCACTCAATATATAACTGTAGTGTCCTTTTGGGTGGGTGTGCTTCTTATGGGTAGCGTCCTATGGATATGGGTGTATGGGTGTGAGTAGGACTCTGGGTAGCGTCCTATGGGTGTGAGTAGGACTTGAACCTGTCCGTTTTTAATGGATTTAGATTAGATTGAGTTGGATTGAACCAATATCATGTTCACAAGCGTCAATGGAATAGGTTTGGGTTGGAAGTAATCTAAATTAAAACCAATTCAAAATATTCTATTCATCAGTTTAAAATGGTCCAATGTGGGTTGGAACTAAATATAATTAAAATCAATTTCAACTTGAATAGATTTAGGTTCAAAATGATTCAGAATATTCATCCATTCAAAATGGTACACATGTTAATGGATCAGGTTTGTTTTGGAACCAATTTGAACATATTCTGGTCTAAAATTATTCAAAATATTCATCAGTTCAAAATGTTTACATTGGCTTCCATTAGAGCAAACCTGTTGTTACACCGTTCTAACAGCACAGCTTTTTGTAACTTTTGTCTTGGGATACCCATGAAATAAAGTACAAAAGTATGGAGATATTTTCCCCGAATGGGTTTTGCCCTGACTGAACTCGTCAATGAAGAGTGATGAAGAGTTAGATTTGGGTTGGAACTATTCCAAATTAAAACCAATTGAAGAGATTCTGGTTCAAAATGATCATTTATCAGTCCAAAACGATCTAGATTGGAACAAATTTGATTCAATTGACACCCTGCCATTCATAACAGACACAAATATACATCCTAAAATATATGGGTCAACATCCAAATTAAAACGAGAGATTGCATATATACACTGTACTGTAATCTTGGAGAGACCTAATTCGAAATTGCTACATCAAGTGGTACTTACCAGAAAACCCTTGACAAGTTCTTATCTGTATATCTAGATTAATCTTCCCCAGCATTTATGGGTGTCGTCTGTAGCAGTAGACATCAAGCAAACATTTAATTTTCACTCAATGAATATGTTTTGTAGAATACAAATAAAACCTATTTACATGAACCGTATGTATATATTATATTTATAGTATTTATGAACGTATTTACATTTGCACTCTGATTATGATGAATGGTTGTTTATCAATAAATGCAATGAATGACATATTTAGTATATGTTTGGTTCCGTTAGAGTTTATTGAGAGGCCATTTATTACTTTTAAGTTTATTTGTATTATTCTACTTTAAACATTTTTTCATTTTAGACATTTTACTGTTTTTTGTTCAACCGTTGAACATCACTTTAAAGGTTTATTGTTTTCTACGTCATATTAGTACACCCATAAAAGCATGCCACATTTTGTTTTAAGAAATATCGGGAGGAAACAAATTTGATATTTCTTCAATATGTACAAAAAACCAAACATTTTAGTTTGTTAGTGTTTATTTGATAGATGGTGAAATCAAGTAGTGGTTTCATATACAATAATAAACACAAACGCCCTGTGGTGGTGTTTTTTAACCAAAACATTGACTTAGTTTGGCATGCCATAAAGGGTTGTATATTTGTAGTATGCATGATAAATATGGATAGTCGGATGTTGCATGTACATTGATATTCATGTGCTGCATGCATGGTCGTGGTTACGTACTAGTGAAGTAAATTGAAAACCATCATATTTCATTCATTGTATGATGCGTGGTTCATGTAATGCATATGCATGCAAATTGTTATGATGCTTCCTACTCTTTGCATGGTGGGTTTACAGGAGGAAATGGATCACCAGATGATGAAAGAAAGAGAGACCCAAGAGGACATGAAGGACAAGGCTTACGAAGCCCAGGATACACAAGAGAATGCCCAAGTTGTAGGAGGTCATACCCAAGAAATCAATAAGGATCCAAAGGAGAAGATGGATGAAATAGAAGAAAATAAAGAGTTGATGAGCATCCAAACTACTGAAGACCCTCACCAAGAGATAATTGACCAAACAAAAAGTCATTTCGATGACACCATCGACAAGCCAAAAGACAATAACATATCAGAGAGTGCACAAAGTTTTGACGATCATTCTGTGGAGAAGATGGATGAGCCAAACAACAAAGCATCGAAGACTGTCCAAGTTCTTGAAGGCCACGAGGCATCAAATGTTCAATTTTTCAATGAGCCAGAAAGTAAAGAATCATCAATTGTTGTCCCAGTTGTTGAAGACCACCCCCAAGAGAGTAAAGATGACCAAATAAAAATGGAAGAACCAAAAGACAAGACATCAGAGATTGTTGGAGCTCTTGAAGGTTATACTCAAGAGACCGAAGACCCGATTGATGAGCCAGAAGACAAAGTATCAGACACTATTCAAGTTGTTGAAGGCCATCCCCAAGAGACTAAAGACCAAATAGATCAAACAGGTGAGGCATCAGACATGGTTCAAGCTCTCGAAGGTCACCCCCAAGAGATAAAAGACCAAACAGAGAGTTATTTTGAGAAACAATCTGATGATTATTTCGAAGATAGTAATCTTGAGGACAAGTCAAACGAGTCAAATAACAAGATGAACAAGCCAAAAGATGATGCATCCCAGATTGCTCAAGCTCTCCAAAGTCATCCCCAAGATCAAATTGATAAAAATGAGGCGTCAGACATTATTCAAGCTCTCGAAGGTTACCCCGAAGAGATTAAAGACCAAATAGAGAATTATTTTGAGAGACAAGCAGATGATTCTTTTGATGATAGTAATCTTGAGGACAACGCAAATAGATTAACAATGGATAAAGTAGAGAATATTGATGCAGAGAAGGACAAGGCGTTGGAGACTACACAAGCGGCAAAGAATGAGGCATTGGATGCTACCCAAGTTATTGAAGGCCATGCCCAAGAGACCAATGATCAAACAAAGAATTATCTAAAAGAGAATAGGAACGAGCTAGAAGATTGTGAAGCATTGGAGACTATCCAAATTACGGGAAGCCAACCTCATGGCAAGGCATTTGGTACTACCAAAGCTGCAATAGGTCGAATTCGAGAAATTAATGACCAAATGGATAGTTATCTCAAGGACAAGGTGTTGGATACTGCCCAAGCTAAAAGAACCTATGCACAAGAGGCTAAAGACCAAATTGGCAATGAAAAGGGTGAACTATTAGACACAGTTAAAGAGGCAAATGAAAAAGGGTTACAAAATAACCAAAATGTCAGAGGTAATGCTCAAAAGGTTCATATGAGCAATCTTTTCAAGGAGGAAATGGATAAGTCTAAAGATAAGGCACAAGAGAGTGCTCTGACTATGAAAGGCAATCTCCAAGAGACAAATGACCGAATAGATAGTTATGACAAGATGAACTCAACAAAAGACAAGGCATTGGATATTGCCCAAGCTACACTAGGCTACACCCATGAAGCTAAGGACCAAACAAGCAAATATTTTAAGGATAAAATGGGTGTTACAAATGAAAAGGTACAAGAGATCACCCAAACTGTTGAGAACAAAGACCAAATGAGTAGTTATCTTAAGAGTAAGATGGATGCCACAAAGGGTAGGGATTCAAAGATTGCCAAAATTGCTAAAGATCTTGACCAAGAAACCAAGGATCAAATGGTCAACTATCTCAAGGAAAATATGGACATAGCGAAGGATAAAGAATCAAAGATTGCCCAAGATGCTAAAGATATTACTCAAGTTACCCAAGAGCAATTTGGTAGCTATCACAAGGACAAAGCAAACATAGAAACGGACCAAGCTACCAGAGGTTATGTCGAAGTGGCTAAGGACCAAAGGGGAAGTTATCACAAGGACAAGACATGGGGCGAAACTACTCAAGTTGCTGGAGATTATTCTCAACCAATCAAGAACCAAACAAGTAGTTATCTCATGGACAAGAGAGACACTACCAATGATAAGGCAAACAGGTTGAATATGACAAAAGACAAGGTATTAGAAACCTCTCAAGCCATTAGAGGCCGTGCCCAAGAAAACAAAGAGCAAAGAATAAATCTTCTTAAGGACAACATAGATGCATCAAAGAAGTTAAATGTGGATATCAAAGGTCGTACCAAAGAGACAAAGGGTCAAAGAGGTAACTATCTTAATGAGAATGAGAAGAATGGTGCAAGAAAAGACAAGGCATCAGAAACTGTTCAACCTACACAAGACACTACCAATTCAGATAAAGAGAAGAGAGGAAATTTTTTCCAAGAAAGGGCTGAGGAAGTCAAGGGGAAGGCGTTGGAGGCTGCCCAATTTGTTCAAGGCACAACACAAGCAGGCATGGAGATGACGGGTGGTTTTCTACAGCAGACAAACGATCAAGTGAAGAGCTTGGCCCAAGGTGCTGCTAATGCAATGAGGGAAACACTTGGTATGGATGACAAAAATGAAGATGGAACAACTACTTACAAGGACTAGTTGATATGCAACTACTTTAGTGATCAGTGCCTCATTTGTTGTGTTGGAAGTGTTATCCAGGGGCTGCTTTGTTTTCAATGTTTTAGGCAAGTTGGTTGAAGTTTGTGTGTAAGTGGAGTCATTTGGTGTAATTAAATAGTTTGAAAACTATGTTATGGCCAAAAGTAATTTCTTTCGTGTGTAATTTAAAAAAAAATGCAATTTTATATTTCCTTTTTCTTAGTGGGTAATCCTATGGTATATATAATGATTTATTCTTTATTTAACAATTAAATACCAGAAATATACCACAATTTAATACCATTGAAATGCTTGTTTATGTTCACAATTTTCTTTCATATGTTCTTAAGTGAATCCTACAAAGCCACTCTACTCATTGACTATCTGTTTTCTGTAGATGATGAAGGATGGTTTGTGTATAAGAAACAAAATTGATTAATTTTAAATTCCATGTAATAATGGCTACCATACAAATGTTCTTCCATATACTTCAAGCTCAAATTTTCTTGTAAGAAATGAAAACATTTTGTTTTGAACAATTGATTTATTTACTCTTTCTTAGTGCAAATACATCATGTATAAATTTCTCAATTTGTCTTGATTTAAAGTTATCATGTTTCATGTTTGTGTCTAATTAATTCTATCCCAGAAATTGGACTACGTGACGATTAGAATTAAAAGTTATGGGAAGGGGTGTTTCTAGGGACTGATTGGTGACATTTCCCTACCACCCCTAGAAGGGGATATATGGGCAATTCCTAGAAGCACAATTATGGGCATGTTTTCTTGTATGAAAGTTCTATAGTTTCCTAGTTGGACTAAAGCTCCTTTTTCCTAGGTTCGAGACCAATTTCCTAGGTTACAAGCTTATTTTTTACTTAAAGAATCTTCATATCCAATACTTTCTCTAATGGTCTTTGTTTGTAAACAAGAACACTAGACTATGCAAATATTTTTCTTTGTGTCACTGCTTTTTGGTTTTATCTGTTTTCAAATTATGCATGATTCATTTCTTCAATACATCTATTATTAAGACATGAAGAAGTTAAAGAGCATTTAATTTTATCTGCCTTCATCTTACAGATGTTTCCTAGTCTTTTCATCATCATATATTAAGAATTATTTATTTTCCATTTAATAGACATCTATGAACAGTCTCTTAAATCAAACTATGTCTACTAATTCCACTTGATTTGAGTGGCCAAGATTTCTTGAGGAAATGTTATTATGTTATAGGTAGTCTTGGGGATATTCTATAAAAAAGGAATATTCTCATCTAAGGTTATTATGTTAATGTTATAATTACAAGAAAGTTGTATAGGTGAATGACAACTCACGAAGCAGAATCTTGTCCCGTTTAAACGCTAAAGAAGGAATTTTCATGTGAAATTTTGTAGGGTGGGGTTTTCAAAGGTCTTGGAATTGTTGGTGGGGTCAAATGAGAAGAGCCAAAAAAAGATTCTTGCTTTGATAACAACATTTAGGGGGTGTCAATTAGTCATGTGAAGCATTTAGGGGGGATTTGCAATTCAAAGGGGGTTATAGTGTCCACTTTTTGGGTGTTGACAACAACATTTCTTCTATATATAGGTACAATATCCACGGAAAATGTGAATGATATACAACACTCTCTAGCTCTTTACCTGTCTTCCTCGCTAACCAACCTCTTCGGCTCGACCCAATGGCCCCTTGCTCACTTACTGACTTAAGCATCAGAAAACTCACCCTAAGAACATAATTCGAGACTCTTAATTTAACCCTTTTATAGGTTTTTGGAAGTAACTCAGTTTAACTACTCACCTTAGTTCACCCTTTTTCATCCTCTTTAGTTGTTGCCCAAATTTTGATAGCAACAAGGTGAGACCATGGTCTTAAATTTGAAACCTTTAGTTGTATAATAGGGTATTTTATTTCTCTAAGTTATATCAACATTCATACCTGTTTCATACATTATTCTTCACCTAGTATGCTAGTTTACTAAATGAGTATTCTTACTAGTACAATAGTTGTAATTATAGGTAGTCTTTCTATCTTGTCATCATCCTTGTTCTCTTTATACCACAAAATTACAGATGTTTGTACACTCCTATAGGCATAAAATAACACTTTGTCTTCTTCCAAGATAGTACAATAGTTGTAATTACAGATGTTTGTAATTATAGGTAGTCAACTAAAATTTTCAAAACCATACGGAGCGTATTGTTAATTTACCCTAGGAAAATTGTATATTAACTATCATTTTGCAAGAACATCTATCTCTCAGGGGCCAATAATGGACTATTAGTGGCTGAACGGAATGATTTATTGTTTTGTTTCTTAGGTTGTGTTTGGTTATAATGCAAATTTTATTTGCATCGATGGTAATACAAATGATTTGAGCGCAAATTTTGATTTTTTTTTCAAATTTCATGTTACCTTGTTTGATTGCAGTAGAAGTGAAGTAAAATAAGACTTGCATTCTTTTCATTTGCACTCCCATATTTGTACTAATCAAATAAAATTACAATGCAACCAAATGCAACATTAGGTTCAGTTTGAGAAGAGTGCAAATACAAATTTGTCCATACAAGGTATAAAAATATCATTGCAAGGTTTTGTAATTTGTAATATACATTTCTGTATTTACACTCTTCCCAAACAGAGCCTTGGTAAATAAATTATTAAATATGAATATTTTATAGGGAAACTTCCGGATTAGTACCTTGTACTTTAAGCCTAGTGTCACTTTGGTCTTTGAACTTTAAAACGTGTCAATTCAACACCTAAACTTTCAAAATGTGTCAATTTAATCCCTAATGTTAGCAACTCGTCAATTATTTGTATCACATGGTGATATATGCGACTTAAAGCATTTAAAAACATCAAAAATACCCTTCAATAAAAGCCATTGTTCATTATCTTTTACCTTAAGACTGAACCAAAATAGACATTGTAGTCGCACTTAGGAGGTAGGGATGGCAATGGAGCGGGTTCGGGGAGGGTTTTGTAAATTCTAGACTCTACCCACCCCAAAACCTGTAGCAGGTTAGATTTTGAGAATCCAAACCCTCCCCGCATATGAAAGTGTAAAACCCTCCCCAACTCTACCATCTCAGCATTCAAGGGTAGGGGCGGGTTGGGCTTAAAACCCACATCTAATTTCCTATTATTTCTTGTCATATATAAACAATAAATAAGTAAAACAACACAAATAAACATCAAGATTTCTAATTATTGGATTAACACAAATAAGCTATATATCAACTATCATTCACATAAAATTTAAAATATTATTAAATTCAACACACCCAATACATAAAGTTTATATACTTTCTAATAATATGTGGATCGGGGAGGCCAAAAAGGTTGGATTTAACCTAATACCGTACCTTATCCGTAATCGTACAGGTTGTATAATCTCAAAACTCATACCCGCCCCAAAACCCGTCATTTAAGCAAAAAAAAACCGCCCCATCGAGGAGGGTAGGGGCGGATACCCACCGAGTAGGGCAGTGGTGATTTGCTCAGACTCACAGTCCACAGAAGCTTATGGCTCTGGTGCATGTTCAGATCTAAAATCACCGACTGATCCCACCAATAATTTTCACTCGAAATGCATCTTCGAGGCGCTCTCATCAGCTGCCACAGACAACGGGCACTCACAGGCGTCAATCTCAAATCCTGTGTAAGAGGCAATGAACAGGGCCTTGGGTCCAATTTATTTTGACTCGATCGGCCACCCTGGGAGGCTAGTCATCGACTTTCCATATATCGAGCTGTAAGCCTGTAAACACCCATTGGTTGGTCCTTGGGGAATGGTATCCCCTGTTTCTCTTTGTTAGTGAATGCGCGTACCAGCGTTTCATCCACCAGAAATTAAGCTGCAACCAATAACATAAGGGCAATACAAAAAAAAACTACTTTAATCCGTTTTTATATCAAACACTCTCACACAATTATCAGCACCACAAGATTCTCCCATCTCCATTCTCTTCAAAGCTCCTCCATGCCAAGCGGTACACAGTAGAAACATGACACTGTCTTTAGAACGTTATTTGCCCCCACTCAGATTTATTGAGTTTGCTATTGGGTTACAAGCAAATTCGTTCCCAGGATACAACAGAGCCTTGGGCGAGAATCTGCAACCAGCAAAGTTGAAGAGTCTCCAAAGAAACCTTCTATGAGATTGTAGCAGATCGGATTGAGAGAGAGAGAGTGAATTTTGAAATTGTGTGTTTTGGAGTCTGATTAATGCTCCTTAAATAATTTGTGAAGAGGTATGAAGAAAAGGTAGGTGCTGGTTTAGAGAAGGCACATTGAACAGTCACAATTTCAAACATTGTGACTATT